TATTTATATATGTGTGTGTGTGTAGGCCTATATCTTTTCACAAAAGTTTCCTATTCCGTGTTTTGCTGATACTGCGGTTCTACTGCAAATTATCAGCAGTCATCGATAAAAGACTTGATTAATTTTGGAGCTCGATAGTTGATCGTAGCCTATAGGCTAGGCTACTCTACAAATTATAGCCCACATATTTTAGCAACCTTTTATTTAGGCACCTGTTGTAGCAGTCTGAAGTATATGTTTATAGTTTTGTCTATGAAATTAAACATTCGGTGAAGAAGGAAAAATTAAATAAAAAGAAAGCGTTTACTGGAAAACTAGGTAGTACATGGAATGCAACAGTGATAGCAAGACGGATTTTGCGCTTTGACCCTTTCCTGCAGTAAATTTATCATTGTGTGTGTGTGTGAGAGAGAGAGCGAGAGAGAGAGAGTATGAGTCTGAACAAGTCAGGGGCGTAGAATGGGGGGTGGGGGGTGCGCCTGGGACATGTCCCTACCGCGGTGTTATCCCAAGCCGGATTCGGAGCTGCCCCTGGAGCAGCTGGTTCAAGGTTTCGGGAGATGTGGACGTAAAGTGGATACTGAGCCCACAGGAAGCGCAGAGCCTCGGGAAGTCAGCGGTAAGTGATTTAAAGGGTTTATATAGGCTAAGTGATTTAAATGTATGATTTGTAGCAGTAGCTAATCTACCTATAAGTGAGCTATAAATATGAGATTTTAATAATTTTCCTCTTCCTGTAGCCTAGCTTACATAATGATAACAAATCTGATGATTTATTAGGCTTAAAGCTGTTCCGTTAAAATTTTAGAGGGTGCTGTGTTTAATAATTTTTTTTATTCCTTATGAACAATTGATGAAAAACGCATTTCATGTAATAGTGACAGAAGGCATTACCTTAGATGTTTTTTAATAACACGTATGAAAAAAGAGTACAAATATTTAATTAATAAAACATAATTTGTCCTTGACAAACTGAATGAAATAGTATACATAGCCTACATTCATACATATATATTTATCCCTTTCCTGCAGTAAATTTATCATTGTGTGTGTGTGTGAGAGAGAGAGCGAGAGAGAGAGAGTATGAGTCTGAACAAGTCAGGGGCGTAGAATGGGGGGTGGGGGGTGCGCCTGGGACATGTCCCTACCAACAGGGCCGCTGCTGGCCAAATGCCCTAAGCAGAATAGCATTGTTGTGCCCCCTCCTTCAAAAAATAAATAAATAAAAAATAAACACCTACTATAAAGGGTCAAAATAGAACTTTAATAAAATATAAAAGTAAACAAATAAATAGTAATTAAATTGGATTATTTATAAATTACAATTGTAGCTCTAGACAGTTACCTATGGCTATTATTTTATTAATACCGTTGTCTGATTGATTTTATAGTGTGAAGCATTCAGAAATCACACAAAATAAAATTAAGCAGTTTTACTACGATAAAACCATGTTTCATTTTGGTAAGGGTTGTGATGTCCACATGTTTTTGTTGAAGAAATTAAGTGGATATTTGAATTAAATGTTTGGTCAATATTGTGGCTGCTGTGTGTCAAATAACCCAAAAGTTGTGTCAGACTTTTTTCCTTGTTTTGTATGTGTCTTGCTCCCCATGTACCTTCCTATGCCCATATTTGGTTAGTTTCCTGTTCCTGTCCTGATTATGTTGATTTGATTCCAGGTGTTCCCCGTTTTATTTCCATTGATCCCAGGTGTGTCTCGTCCTCTCCTCATCCTGTCATGTGTTTAAATAGTGTTCCCTGTCTTTAGTTCAGCGTCAGGTATTGTACATGTCTACCTTTGTGATGTGTGGTTTCCTTGTTCCCTGGATGGCATTAAAACTTTTTGAATTCTACTCCTCGTCTGTTCGCGCCTTCGTCGCCGTGCTCCACACAGTAGCACAACGTGACAGGAGTAGTGGATTCTAACCTTTGTGTCATGAAATGACTTTATTCTTATTTCATTTATATTTGTAATTTTTTTTTATTTTTTTTATTTTTTTTTTTTTAAAGCATAATTATAGCTGTAAAGATCGAAAACCTAATAAGACGCTTCTCTTGTGTTCAAAATATGAAATAGTAGCTAGTATGCTACAGTGGGTGCAAGGGTGTCCTGGCTGCAAAGGTAAATAAATTGTTGCCTGTGAGATCCTGAAGTGTAATACAGTATATGACATGGATTATGGTGGAATGGTGGGGCTTTGCAAATTTAAAAATGGGTCATGGAAAACACCCAGTGTAAAGTTTTGGCCATAATGGAAAGTACTGAGAGTGCTGACAGCACAGAGCAAGTAAGACCTCATGTATTGTCTCATCTTCACTAAGAGGGAAATGGCTGGTGACCCCCTTCCCATTTGCAGTGACCCAAAAAAATAGGTCTTACAAAGCCCTCAGCAACTCAAATGCCAAGAATCTTACTGTGTCTGTGTCCAGAATAAACTCTCTTGCTCCCTGCAGCAGCTTGGAGATAACACAAACAATGTGAGAAATGTTGAGGCGAGCATGCTCGGGGTGGGAGCAAGCAGTGGTGTAAGGTCCTCTTTGGAATTTGTGGAGGTGGTGATTTTTTTTATTTATTCTTTTTTTCAGGAGTTATAGTTCATACATGCTGATCTGGGGGTGAGGATGTAGGGCACAGTGTTGGGCAGTAATTATCAGAAGTAATTATATACATTTTTTCAGTAACTTGTGTAACTAATTACTAATAAGATTTCAGTAATAATATTAGTTACCATTCATAAAACAGCTCATTACTTAGTTACTTTGATGCCTCAACCCCTACTGATTTGAAATCCAACAATACAATAATTCCTAGATTTATTTAAATAATTTTCACGACTCGCACAGGCGCATGAAGTCACCAGTGCATCAGGAAAGCTTGGAATATGGAAAAACTTACATTTAGGGGATGGAAATATTGCATTACGCTGATTTTGTCAGGAGAAGAGGGGATCTGAACACAGATGTGTAAGTTGTGGCATTACTTTACTCTGGCATTACATGGCTTGCCCACCCACGTCCCTCTGATCCCGATATGAATTATATTACTATAATTAAAAATCTTATGAACTTATGTGATTTCTTTTGATAAAATACTTCATGAAATATAATCATAAATGGGTAACAGAGAAATTATAGCTACAATACACTGTCAGAAAAAAGGGTACGGTTGGGGTCCGTTTGTGAACACTTAGGGTACAAATGGTGAAGTTGTACCCTTAATGGGTCAATGCAGTCGGGGGCGGAGTTGAAAACGGAGCTGTGAAGCCGGACACTTTCTGCTCCAGTTAGTGACGCTCACGCGGTGTTTGCATACTCTATCACAGATGAAGTGAATTAAATGCACTAAAAAACGTTCTAAATATAAGTCCAGGGGTGTCCTAATAATTTAGTCCTGTCAGTCATCACGAGCGAACTACTTAAGCAGCAATCAACTGAGGCGATTTAGCTCGGACATCGAGGCGTGCGTCGGCTTTGAGCCCTTCCAAGAACAGCAAGTCAAGTGAAATTTGTTTACCATTATTTATCAAAACTGGTAAAAACTTGTGAAATACTTTTTGATTCTTGCTGTTTACAATTTTGAGTATAAAAACCTTTTTTTTTTCTTTCTTTTTTTCAAAAGTAAAATTTCTGCAATATATGCATGCTGTTATGACATTGTGATAGAGCTTATAACATTCATCCTGTGAAAAATGTGAGAATGTAATGGTTTTGAATGTTTAATAAATGTGATAAACAGCATTCTGGCCTTTTTAATGTGCTGTATGGAGTACAAATTTGCCATCAAAGGGTACAAAAGGCTTGTCACTGGGGCAGTACCCTTAAAAGGACGAATTTGCACCTTTTTTAAAGGTACATTATGGTACCATAGCACTATAAGGTACAATTTGAATTTGCACCTTTTTTTAAAGGTACATTATGGTACCATAGCGCTATAAGGTACAGTTTAGTCAGCAGAGGTACGTATTTGCCTTTGAAAGGTACATACTGCAAGGGTACAGATATGTACCCATGTGAAAGGGTACAACGGGTGTACCCTTGAGGGTACTGCCCCAGTGACAAGCCATTGTACCCCTGAAGGTACAAATTTTGCAAATTTTTTCTGACAGTGTACTCTAAAAGCAAAAGCTGAAATCCCCTGGCACATCCCAGATGCTCAAAAACAGGCAAGCCGCTTTAATCAAACGTCCTTCCTGAAAAGAAAAAAAGAAAACCTTGAACCAAGTGTTGTTAGGAGCCTGCTCTCATTAAACAGAGACCCATTGTCTTCTAATATAATCTCCTCTTTTGCTTGTCTCCAGCTCACAAGGGTTGTCTGATAAAGCTTTAGCATGAGCGATCTGAGCCAGCCTTGAAATACCTAATCTTGGGCAGCTGCAATGATGAGGCAGAAATATATTGTTAGTAACATTTTAGAAGAATCTTATGGGGAAGATAGGCTACACAATTACAACTTCTGTGGGGTGTGAAGGAAAAGTAATGTAACTAGTAGTGTAACTAATTACTGTTGCCAGAAAGTAA